CCTCTTTGCTAGTTGGATCTCGCCCCTGGTTCTATACTCTGCTTTTACTTTGGAAAAATTTAGATTGCGGCCACCATAAGTGACATACTACTAAAAAAAAAGAAAAAAAAAAAGAAGAGTGATATACTTATAGCCTATCCAATAGACGAGTCCACGGCACGCATATTCTGTGCACAAGTGGTATGATGGGCCCGCTTCCTGACCCCGGCTAAAGCCTGCCGTGTTTTGTCGAACACACCCCAACCTAGATAATGAATGTATACAAGCTTTCTGATACCGTGCAGCCAAGATGAGGGGGCGTTGTATTTGGGGGAAGATGGTAGCGAAGGCGGTCACACGTACACACACCCCAGCTGGTGTTCTTCTGATTCCCTGAGAAATTTGATGTGTGCCATTCAGCCAAAGGGGCCCAGAGTACAAAGGCTCTCAGAAAAAGAAAAGAAAAGCCCTCTCCGCGAACGGGATAACGGAATAGGAGGAAAGGTGGGAGGTGGGAATGGGAGAAGAGGAAAGGTGGGAGGCGAGAATGGGAGAGGAGGTAAGTCCGGATCTTCGAGGAGGAAAGGTGGGAGGCGAGAATGGGAGAGGAGGAAAGGCGGGATCCTCGACAGTCTAGGTCTTTTGGCTAAGTAAGATCAAGCGTAGTATCTGTTCTGATAATCAGTGGAAGATCTGATTCATGGTCCATTGGGACGGTCACCACAAAAAAGAAAAGGATAGGTCAAAGCTTCCTTTTTTTATATTTTTATTTTTTATTTTTATTATTTTTAAACACGCCCCCCCTGCAGTGCTAGTGGTGCGGACAGGATCAGACACCACTAGCACCCGGTGAAAGCTTGCGATCGGTACCACAAAAAAGAAAAGGAAAGGTCAAAGCTTCGATCAGTTTAAAAAACAGTGAATTTCAAACAGATCGCAAGCTTTGACCTTTCCAATTTTTTTTGTGGAGTAGCAGGTAGGTAGTGGAAGGTGAAATTGAGAGAAGAATCTAGCGCAGTTTTTTTAAGGAAAAAAAAAAGGGTGGGTGAGTATTTAGCTGCCACTGTCAGTCAGTTCGGCGGTGGGACCTTTGTCCCACTTGCATGGATTCTTCTTTCTGCACCGGAGATTACGGAGGATCAACGGTCGGAATCACAGCGGCCTAGCTCAGATGGTAAGGCACGCAAGTGGCATTCAGGAGGTCTTGGGTTCAATCCCCATTGGCCTCATGCACCTTCCTGGGCAAGCTTGGCGCCCGGCACCTAGAGATATGCCGTTGGTCCCCCCGAGTGGCATTGAGCAGAGACTGCTTATGTTCATAGGGGGAGGGGACCGGAGGGGAGGCACAGTGACTGGCCCATCGAAGAAGCTCGGTCCTGATGCTACCGGCTGACCCCTGGCCGCTATCGCCCACCTGCTGTAGCAGGTGTCGCACCTGCTGGTGGGTGCAGCTCCCACATGTTCCCTCGTTGGAGGCTTGAGCACGGATGTGGCTGCTACGGGGTTCCCCGTAATACTATAATGACAATAAAAAAAGGCCTGAAAGGCCGTCCTGTCCAGATTTGACAGGTAATTGAATTGGTTGGGCTTCAAGGAATTAGCCTTTTTTTTAAAAAAAAAACGAATCACAGAGTCGCCGTAAGTGGGACAAGGCGTAATTGTTTTTTTGTTTTCCTTTTTTTTTTAAAACAGTGCTCCAATCTATTTGTACGGAGCAGCACGCGCTGGGAGCCGGACCCGGTGTTCCATATGAAATACACAGTAATCTGAGGACCGGCCACAGCGCGTCTTCTTTTTTTTTTTTAAGTCCATGTTGGTGTAGTAGTGAAGTTGGATGCGTATGTCTGTTTTGGTGATTGAGTGAGGAGTCGGGGAGGGTGGGACAGGTGTGCGTTTGCGCTGAGTGTGTTTCGGTGATTGCGTAGGGAGGAGGCACGGCGCGAGCCGGACTGGTGTGAAGTGGTCCTAGAGGGGAGCAGAACGGGACCAGTGTGAAATGGCAACCAGTGCCCCGGTGGTGATGATACTCATTTCCTTGTTGCTTGTCTGACTTGTTTTTGTGTCCCCTCCCCCCCCCTTCCCCCGCCTCCCCCTTTTTTTATCTTCTGTCTGCAGGTCATCACCTTGGAGTTGGGATCATATGTGATCTCTAGCACGCAGGCGCTTCGTCCTGAGATGTCCGGCGCTATGGAGACGATTGGTGTTGTGTCTCCTGATAACAACAAGCTGTATTTGGCCAATTCCAACTTCAGTCAGTTCGTTCAGGCTGACCCAAATATGGTTTCCGCGGGGATGTACGTGAACTACACTGCTCCTGGTGCTTACTTCCATTCAGTAGCTACAGATCCGTTCCGCAAGCTCATCTACTACTTCTCTTCAGACACCACCGCTCCCATTTTCAGTCTGCGATCGTATGAGAACATCCCTCCACTGGGCCCCACACGCATCCTGCCCCTCTTCTACACTCCTGCTACAAGCCTTCCGCTCACCTACATCGGCAGGAACCTGACCGTTTACAAGGCTACATTCGCTAAGTATCAAGACCTTGCGTTCTTCGTCACGGACCCACGGGGTCCTTCTCACGGCGCTAACGTTGTGGCGGTTAGCACTTCCTCCTGCCCTGATGGAAACTCTGTCTGTGCAAGTGTCACTCAGGGCAATTGCGGCTGTTACGCCAATCCTTACTCTGTGTATGCCACTGCTGACGTCTCATGCAGCGCCTGGTATAATTACACTGCTCGTGACGCTTATCCCACCATACCATGCGCCTTCCGTCGCTGATATCCTTGTCCCGTTGTTTTTATCTCCATCGTTCACGTATGTTTGCACCCATTCCACTTTCGTTGAAGATTGATTCCCCCTCTGCCATCCTCATCTCCGTCAATCAAGACACTTCCTTGTGCCTCTCCGTGGCCCATTGGTCACTATTTTTCTTCTCATAACGCGGGCCATACCTGATTCTGTGTGTGTGTGTGTGTGTGTGTGTGTGTGTTGTATCCACTAAACACAGCTCCTGTGTATCTGTGGGCATGCATACCTCTCTTGCCTGTGCGCATTCATTGAGCTCTCTCTCTCTCTCTCTCTCTCTCTCTCTCTCTCTCTCTCTCTCTCTCTCTCTCTCTCTCTCGCGCGCGCGCGCGCGCGCGCGTCTGTGTCTCTTCTCTCTCTCACTCAGACGCACTCTGGGCTGATTGTGGCGATGGGTGCTGGTGTTGGTAGGGCGGAAGAATGGCCGTCTGTGGGTCGAGTAGTAAAGGAAAGCACCCTTCCCTCTCTCTGTTCACTCTTATCTCTTACGGGCTGGTTTCTCATGGAGGTCTGTCTGGCATTGGTGCTTTTGCCTCTGGTGGGCAGACCGAGGATTCCTTGTCTGTGACATACTTGTTGATCAGAAGGGAAGATGAGGACCAAGTATACTATATTTTTATTATGAAGGAAGGAATATGATGACTTGAAGTGCCAACTTGTTTTTTCCTTATAGCGTATCTGCAGTGAGATAAGCTGAAGTAGTACCATCATCAAATCTTGGGGAAGGATGTAAATTGCCTGTCACCGGGAAGATGAGGACCAAGTATACTATATTTTTATTATGAAGGAAGGAATATGATGACTTGAAGTGCCTACTTGTTTTTTCCTTATAGCGTATCTGCAGTGAGATAAGCTGAAGTAGTACCATCATCAAATCTTGGGGAAGGATGTAAATTGCCTGTCACCGTTTTAGTCATGATGTTAGATNGGGACCAAGAGAAACGGTCGGGGGGGGTGGTACTGTTGGGGCGGTGCAGTTCAAAGTGAGTTTTGCGGTTTGCACTTTTTTTTTTTCCCTTGTGCATTGAGAGAGAGAGAGTCTTCTTCCAGGGCTAGCTTTGCTAGCAGCTGAGAGGTTTATATCCAGTGTTCGGAGTAGAGTGGTAGTGTATGATGAGGCGGAGGGAAAAAACTTGGATTTTCTGGCATACACAATATTGATAGGAAGGGAGAGAGGATTGAGAAAGCAGCAGCTTGTGACATTGTGTTGGGAGTAGGAATATTTCCAATGCAGCAATATTTGTTGCAGGCACGGGGGATTATGGGGGATTATGGGGGATTATGGTGTATTTGTTGCTACATAGTAAGAGGTAGGCTGACGGAATGACGAGGGGATAGAGAGAGCTGAGACTTGAGAGCATGAAGTGTCGGAGGTTGGCTATGTCTTCGAGTGCTGGGGCTAGACATTTTGTAGAGGAAAGAGTTGGCGTTAGGTGCACAGTCGTTCACATCCTATTTTATGATAAAGGTGGGTGGGAGATTGGTTTCCATCACTGTACCTCGAAGAGCTGTAGTGGCAGAAATAGGTGATAACTTCTTTTGCTGTTGTAGATGAAACTCAGGTGCGGCGCACTGTCGCTTTCCACTCCAGCATTGGGACCAAGTTTCTGCCTGGCGTTTGGGTATAATCCTGTACGCCTGGCGTTTGCGTGTGAATCATCTACGCTCTTTAAGACGTTATTTCCGCCTCTCTTTGCATCCGTCATGCTGTTGGGAAAGGCTTGAGCTGAGCTTAACTTCGAGGTGAGCTTAACTTGGAAGAAGAAACCTTTCTCTGGAGTGTTCTGGTGCAGAGTTGGTTGTCGTCGTTTGTACACCTGCACTGTCTGCACACAGTGGCAGATGGGTTTACTCCCTTCCAGAAAGGGGATTTCAGGTGTGCTTACTACCTGGCAGTGCCAAAAAAAGTGGGTGACTGTACGTATCTGATGGACCAGCGACATTGATGGGAAAGGTATGATCGGATTTTTCGAGAAACTGAGAGGAAGGAAGACCTTGTTCTGATGTGCT